ATGCTTCACTCTGGTGCTTGGGACTTGTGAGACCTATGAGGGTTCTGGGAACTGTTCAGCTTGCAGCTTCTTCATCAGTCTTTTTTCAGTCTCGTGGAGTGTCATTCTATGCATGTACACATTTTAATATTCAGTACAGACTTAAGGAAACCTCTGTGCAGATTTCTGGAGCTCCCTTTCTGCAAAGCTCCCTCCTCTCTGGAACTCTGTCCTGCACCTTTCAGCTGACTTAGCCTCCCTGAACTCCAGTCTGTTTCCTCAATCTGTTGCTGGGATCTGCTGGGATTCCCCCCTCCCACCACTGCCCCCGTCCTGGGTCCTTGGTCTGAAATGTGCAGAAATCTGGCAGAAGCCAGGGTGGTCTTAGGGCTCCTATCATTTGTTTCTGTTCTGTCAGGAATCAAAGTCCTGTATTGCCTGCTGTCCAGTGTCTACAAACAGTGGTGTCATTTATTTTGTTTAGTTTTCTAGTTGTTTACAGTGGGAGGGTAAACCTGGTCCCTATTACTTCATCATAGGGCAGACTCTACTGGTTCATTTTGAGCAGAAGAATGATATAACTTTCATGATCCTCATCTCATCCTGAATGTGGGGTGTTGGTATTATTCCCATTATTCCCGTAGATGAGGAGCTGAGGTTCAGAGAGGTTGACCAGTATACCCACAGCCCCTCAGTTATTAATGCCAAAGGTCATGCACTCGCCACTATACCAGTGCCTCTCCAACAACATTTGTTGAATTGAATCTTATTCTTCCCAGCAAAGAACTATAGGCCATATCTTGCCTAGGACATACCCAGAGCTACACAGTTGCTGGCAGGTATAGGATGAGTGCTCCTAGAACTGAGTGTTTTTCTGGTTGCTCAGATCTGAGCTGTGTGTGCAGTTGACTTTGCTGTGCATCAAGGTCAGCACGTGGGCACACCTCCTGGCTGGGGAAGGTCAGTGCCTGGACAGCAGGAGTGAGAGCGCCTTTTGCCTCTACCAAACTGACACATTTCTCTCCCTGCCACTGTGGCCTTTTTTTGTTTGCCTGTTTATTTTTTAAAGCATTCTGATGCTTTTTCTCCCTGCCTGCTCTCTGCATTCCAGCCTCTGAGGATCCTGACTGCGGATCCTCAGCTGGTGATTTCTAAACCTTACTATTACTATTATTATTTTTAAAACCATAAACCACCCTGTCAAGAGTTTTCAGGATTAAGTTGGAATTTAATTTGTAGGGATTTGTTTCAGGCTGGAAAATAGACTTGACCACTTAAAAGGGGGTCAATGTAGGGGCAGGTGTTTGAGAAGTATTGGACTTTCACAAAAGCTGGCCTGATGAGACTCATGGACCTGTGTGAGCTTAGTTTAGCTTCTGACAAGCAGTTGCCCGCTCAGACCTTTGCCCTCTTTTTTTTTTTTTTTTGCGGTACTCGGGCCTCTCACTGTTGTGGCCTCTCCCGTTGCGGAGCACAGGCTCCGGACGTGCAGGCTCAGCGGCCATGGCTCACGGGCCCAGCCGCTCCGCGGCATGTGGGATCTTCCCGGACCGGGGCACGAACCCGTGTGCCCTGCATCGGCAGGCGGACTCTCAACCACTGCGCCACCAGGGAAGCCCCCTTAGCCCTCTTTTGAAGCAGCATCATGTAAAAGATGGGAGTCTGTCTTCCTCCGCCTCATGAGGAAGCGGAATGGTCAGGATTCTCCCAGGGGTCCTGTTGGTGTTTGCATGGAATAGTTTTTCATGGTGTCCATTGCAGGACATTTAGCCTCCCAAGCCTCTGCCCTCTAAACGCCGATGGGACTCCCTGGTCACTGTGACAGCCAGAAACACCTCCACACATTTTTAAATGCCCCTGTGGGGGTGATTATGCCCCAGGGTTGAGAACCGTTGGGTCGTGACATTGCTTTGAGAGTGGCCAGATTTGTGGTTTGTTGTAGGTGAAATGTTCCAGGGAAAGACACTGCTATGGTCCTTTGCTTGCTTCATTTTGGCTTATGTATATAAAGTGGTTCCTTTGGTTTAATTTTTTTAATTAAAAAAATTAATTAAGCCCATACTTATTGAGTACAAGTGACATTCTAAGTGCTAAAGATCTGCCTTCACTAAGGTGGTAAAGTGCCTGCCTTCAAGGAACTTAAAGGATAGACAGATAATAAACTAGTTATATAATGAAGAATTTCAGATGGTATTATCAAGGAAATCAACGTGCAGAGCAGTAAAGAGGAATGAAGGCTGTCTTGGTCATGAAGAAATAGTTTTCTAAAGGACACAGACAGGAGATCGGGATGGTCCATTTTAGATTACAGGTATTTCAACACGAGCTGGCGAATCATCTAGAATGTAATCATATTGGGCAATTCCCAGATTGGCGAGAAGTCCTCTGAGTTCACTAGTAAGGTCTAACCGACCTCAGACAGTACCGTGAGTTGGAATACGGGTGTGGAAATGCTTGTTCATTTCTAAGCAGCCTCCGAGATTGAGTTTGGAGGTTGGGCTTTGGTGTGCTGAGACCCCAGAAGGCTCTGTGAAGCTGAGGTTTGAAGAATTTGGAGAGTGTTGCTGTTTAAATTCCTTGGTGGGGATATGCACACACATGTGTGCTTTTTATACACCTTGAATATCCCTGGAAGAATATATAAGGAGCCAGCATCAGTGCTGTGTCCCCAAGGAAGAGGAGGCTGTTGGGATGAAAGGGAAGCTTCCTTTTAAATTTTTTTAGTATTTAATTTTTTAAAGCAGAATATATTTACATGGCTCACAGTTTAGAAAGGTAAAGAAGGGTATACGATGAAAGAGACTTACTTGGTACTGTATATTGCTTAAAGTTTTTCCTCTGGCACACATTAGCTATTCAGGGGATGAACTAATTTTAAGGGAAGTTCCTTGGAGATAATGCCTCAGTGATTAGTTGTATCTCAGGAAGAAAGTTTTGGTTTAAATCAGAATCAGGCTTCCTAAATATTAAAGCTGTTTGTGTTAGTTTGTTTCATCTAGTCAAATAACCTACATTATTATTTATGGGGTAGTATTAAGGTTGTTGCTTAATAAAATGTAGTCTAAACAAAACTCGATTATTTTGATTAAGTAGAAGGGCTCACATCATCTTAGTACCAGCTACTACCTGAGTCATCATGGGCCAGTTGTTTAACCTCCCTTGCCTCAGTTTCCTCATCAGCAATAATTTCATACATTTATTATGAGAATGAAATGAAGAAGGAGCTAAATACATGTTAGCACTTAGTATTTACCAAATGGAGTGAAGGAAGCCCTCAGGAAGGTAATGAACTTTATATAACCCATTCAAACCAAATCTGTTCTGCTCTTTATTGACCATTCATTCATTCAGCAAATATCTATGGAAGGCCTAATCTGTGGCTGATACTGTCCTAGGCCCCAGGGATACAGTGACGAGCAAACACAGACAGTTTCTGCCCATGTGGAGTTTATAGTCTGGCGAGGGACACAAACATCAATCGGATATCACACACTTAAAGTTGCAGTTCTGCCCAGCCCTTGAAGGAGAGGTATACGGTGTGAGTGTATATTAGGGAGATTTGATCGTGTCATGGCTGTCAGAGAAGGAATGCTTCCCCAGAGAAGTGACTTAACTGAAATCTGAAGGATGAATCAGATTGTCAGAGGGAAGGAAGGGAATACCTGGTGTAAAGTCCCACTGACAGAGGAAGCAAAGGCCAGTATGTCTGTTCTGCGCAGAGCTGGGGTTCGTGGTGCCACGCAGACCTAATATGTAGTCAGAGGAGACGCGTGGCCAAGCTGGGAAGGCTTTTCTGTATTAGCGTTGTTGATGTTTACTGGGGCAGGTTGGTGGATGAGATCAGATTATCGTTTTGAAGCGATAGTCTGTTTGCTGTGTGGAAAATGAATTAGAAGAGAGCCAGCGTGGATGTGCGTGAGCTGATTAGAAGGCTATTGCAGTGGTCCAGGCAGGAGATTTTGGAAGCTTGGACCTAAGTGATGACAGAAGAAATGGAGAGAAGTGGATGATTGATTCCATGGATATTTAGGAAGGCGTATTGGCAGGACTTGCTCTGGCAAGTGAGGGGAAGAGCTGTCAGGGATGGCCTTTTGGATGCTAGTTTGCGTATTTTGGTGGAGGGTTGTGACATTCACCCAGACAGGGAACAGTGGAAGCGTACAAATGTGGCGGAGGGAGAGGATTATGAATCTGTTATGGGATTTTGTTAAGTCCAAGAGGAGGCAGGAAGGCAGTTGGGTGTAGAACTCAGAGGTGTCTGGACTAGAGATCTGAACGCATGAGCTTACTGATGCCTGGAGCCTTAGGAGGGAGGGACAGTGGGGGAGGGAGGAAGGGAAAGCATGCTTAGGTTCTCTGAGACTTTCTAGTTAGTTTCATGCTGGCTGACCTTCTTGTCCTGGCAGAAGAAGGGGCTCTTGAGACAGGACTTTGAATGAGGAGATAGAGTCCTTCCAGCAGAGTCCTTGTCACTGGGCCCTGTGCCCACTGTGTGGTAGCAATTGGGCATGAGGAAATCTTTGGGGACCCTCTGTGGACTGGACTTTCTCCTCTTCCACCTTCTATCCTTTTTCCCAGGAGGCTTGGCACTTGCCATCTGACTAGCTGGGAGGAGTTTGGAGGCTGGCTCCTGAGACCCACAGATTAGCTCATTTGTCTGGATATTATCTGTAGATAATTGGAAATTGGTTTGAACATCAGTAACAGTAAACTAATCATAACTCTCTCAGGCTGCTTGTTTCCTTCTTTTGGAGATTTGTAGATTTCCTCCCAGTCTGTCTGTCTCTGTCTCTCTCTCTCCCTTTCTCTGAATTTTGGCCAGATCAGCCAAGGGTTGAAGGTAAGTGTGAGGGTGAGGGGAGAGATCCAGAGAAGGAAACAGACTAGGGCCAGGCGAGTGGGCCACACGCTGCCTGGCTGTGGGTTGCTCTGCTTATCTGTCAGCTTGTCACTAGCTTATTTACAAAAAGGATTTAAACTCGGCTTTCTTTACTACTGGGGATTGGTATCCTTAGTGACAGGTGATAAATAGGAACCAGTGTCCATAGTTTGCTGCTTCCTTGGCTCCAAATAGATGCCCAGAGAAAATGCTGAGCGTGGGCAACTGGGGCCCCCTTGTGGCTGAATCTGGTTCTCCACTTTTGCTCTGCTCTCGCTGGTCAGTAGCGGGGGAGACATGGCAAAAGGGAAGTTTGGCTTTCACTTAAAGGCTTTTGTGGACTTCTCCTATTGCTACGGATTTTGTGATGGTCCCCAGCCCCTGCTCCTCAGCTGCCAGGGCCCTCCTAAGCTAAATGCAGCCTTCTTGAGGTGCCGTGACAGTAAACCCAGAAACAGTCTCTTCGTGTTCACTGGCAAATTCAGGCTCTTCTTCGGGCTGCTTCTTACAGGTAACCCACCACAGAACACTCTGCAGTATGGAAAACTGGTGAGAAATATGAGAAGTAGTTTGTGTGTGTTGCTCGAGAATGGCACACCTTTGGTTTTTTAGATGTCCATTGGGTGGCACTGCGATCTTACTTTTGTTTTTATTTTTCTTTGCAGCCAAGCTCTAATCCAGGAAGTGAAAATGTGGCGCCTCGAGAGCCGCTGGTAAGAAGCCATGATATATAGTATAATTTTCTAATAATTAAAATACTGAGTTTCAAGAAACCTTATGCTCCTATAGTTTTGCATTAGTAGTGCCCCTTTAGGAGTAGGTGCTCTGTGGAGACAGCCCACAAGTGACCTCTAACTTCTGATTCCTCTTCTGGCACTCAGGGATTAGCGAGATCTCCCCTTAGTAAAGCGTGGTCTTTTCTGGAATGGAAAGCATCTGCCCCAGGTGTGGTGATGCACCATTTTACTTGTTTGAATCAGTGGTAATTAGTGGGATGCCTGAAACCTTTGGAGGCTGAGCTGGAGCGAGGTTGCTGGGCCTGACCAAGTAGCTGCTTGATTGTCTGAAATAGCCATTCTGCTCCTCAGGGTGAGGGCACTTCAGGTGGCCTTTGAAGAACAGGTAAGGGAGAGAGTTCCATTTTTGCCTGGTCAGTAATTTGGTTTGTGATACTCATTTCCAACATTATCTGCTTATACTATTTTTTTTTTTTTTTGCTGTACGCGGGCCTCTCACTGTTGTGGCCTCTCCCGTTGCGGATCACAGGCTCCAGACGCGCAGGCTCAGTGGCCATGGCTCACGGGCCCAGCCGCTCCGCGGCATGTGGGATCTTCCCGGACCGGGGCACGAACCCGTGTCCCCTGCATCGGCAGGTGGACTCTCAACCACTGCGCCACCAGGGAAGCCTTCTTTTTACATTTTAATCTACGGATTTAACTACTGATCACCAGAAGAGTGGCTGGACCATCTTTTGGGGTGTGATTGTATAAACTTCTGGGCATTCTTTCTAGCAGTGAGCCCTGGGCAATCGGCAGCCTCACTGATTTCTGGGTACTTGGAGCCCTGCAGCCCCTTGGCTCTGCTAGTGTTTCTGTGCACTGGCCTTCTCCTGCTGTACTCTGCATCTGCTTGTTGGTTGGTTGTATTTTTATTTCTTTCTTTTCTGGGAGGCCCCGAGCAGTCTTCAAACCCTAGTAGCCTGCGATCGTCCAGAGTTCAGACTCATTCTCTCAAGGCCAGCTCTACAATTACCTTATATTTAACTAATATTTTTTCCCCTCTTTACGTACTTGCTGCATAATTGCTCGGAGGAAAGAAAACACATAGCAGCAATTTATATATATATATAAAAACAATAATTAAAAAAAACCCCGAAATAAACTCCCATCTCATTTGGGTTGATCCTATGAGTTGTGTAATTAGGGCCGTATTAAAAGGTAGACCCTTTCTCCTTCCCCTCTTTTTTTTTTTATTAATTTTTTTATATTAAACTCCCACAGTCTCTCAGTCATGCCCTTATTGCTTTTGGTCAGCCGTTTGCAGCAGCCTGATTAAATGAGGGCACCAGCTGAGCTGTATGGTCTTGTGTGAGCTACTTCTGCGTCTTGGGAGTGGCAGTGGGAGGGTGCCAGGCAGAGAAGCCTCCGAGGGCTAGTGACGGCTTGTGTGGTAGGTCGGGGGTAGAGGATGAGCTGCTGTGAACCGGCAGCAGGCCGGAGAGAGTCATAGGGTGCCAGAGAAGTGATGGGATGGGAGCGCCCACCCACAGAAAGCCCTGAGGCACTCAGCCCAAGTCACACCTTCCCAGGGGAGATTCCTCAGGCCGTGTGTGTTAGCTGTCTCCTGGGTGCTCAGGAACAGACAATTGAAGAATAAAGCTAAGCCTTCTTCCCAAGTAATTTATATATCTTATTTGGGGAAGAAAATGCATTTGTTACATGCGAAACAATTAGCAAACAGCACAAGGCTGTATATAATTTTAGCAAACAGTACAAAATTGTATATAATTTGGTGCAGAATTGCCTGGCTGGGAGTATAAGAGAGCCCTCATTATTCAGAGAAGGAAGAGTTCTCTGGGGGTAGGGGGTGCTTAGGGATGGTTTTTGTGAAACTTGAAGCCAGGTTTGGAGGAATAGGATAGTCCAGTGTTGAGGGAGCACCATGCTCAGTTATTTTTGGTTTTGTTTTTAACTGAGTGGGGTGCATATTTTCCACAAAATTTCTTAATGGAAGCTGCCTGTTCTCTACACTAAAAAGGCTAAGCATGGGATGCTGAAGGCAAATAATCTTGTTCTTTGTTTTCAGAACTAGATGAGCACTTTGGAAGAATTTTTCCCTTTATTAAAAAAGTGAGTTACAACAAAAGAGGCTCTACTGTCTAGTCAGTACAGTGCAAGTTTCATTGTTCGGTGGATGTATTTGGGTGTCTGCATCATTGTTTTGCTCTATTTGCTAGGGAAGGAGGGCCTGATTTTCATATCTGTCCTCTCTGGGCTATAAAAACTGGCTTGTGATTTTGAGTTGATAAGTATGGTCTTGTGGTCTCTAACTGACACATTTGTGTTCATAGCCATCCCCTGGTCTTGATTCCAGCCACATAGGGACACTGCACGTACCTTCTCTTACCCCTTCAATCCTCCTCCGCTCCCAAAAGAACCAACCCAGCAACTCTGGCCACATTAGTGGGATAATTGCTCTATAATGTCATGGTGTCCTCAGGGCTGGTGATTGGTAAACAGACTCATTTTGATAAATTCTGTAAACTCCCAGTTGAAATTCTCTGATTGTTAATGACAAAACTCTTTGCCAGAGTTAAAACGGCTGATTACTTTTTCTTTATACTTTGTTCTCTGAACTTTGCCTCCCAGGGCAAGCTCCAGAGTACTGACCTCTAGCTTCTCCCAGACCTGTTCAGAACCTTCTGTCAGTTTCCCACAGACCCATGATTTCTCATCACCTGTGTGGGCATGTGCTCGGGCCGTCACAGAGGTTCTGGGTTGGTCCCTGCACTGCTCCGCCAGGATCAAGTCCTGCCTAGTCAATAGATCTGTAAGAATGGGTGGACAGTTGTCTGCGTGGAGTAACTCGGTTCCTCTCTTGCTTGGATACAGAAACAGGGGTTAAGTAATGTCTTGAGAGTCCTTCTAGTCATGTGAGTTTAGGGTATTTGAAGCAGCAATAAATATGCTCCCTTGTTTCAGTACAACAAGCTCCTCAATATTCAGCAATACTGTTGCTTACCTACTTTGTACAACACTTATGGATTTGGGCTAAACTAAAATTTCAGCGTTTTGCTCTTTGACACCAACTTCTTTCTAATGGATGAATCTTCTCTTCCTCTAACCTGTAGGTATAGGTTTCGGTTTTGTTTTTTGTTTCTATCCTTTTCCCAGCATCCCTCTACCAAAATAATCCCAAACTACAATTAATGTACCTTTATAAATGATGATGGTAATTCTACTTTATCACGTTCCCTAGGATTAATATTTTTAGTATGCTGAATTCTTTTTTTTTTTAAACATTGCATTCCCATGGCTCATTTATTCTATAACTGGAAGTTTGTTCCTTTTGACCATTTTCACCCATTCCCCCCACCCTCCCCTGAGTACCATTTTTTTTTTTTTGCGGTACGCAGGCCTCTCACTGTTGTGGCCTCTCCCGTTGCGGAGCACAGGCTCCGGATGCGCAGGCTCAGCGGCCATGGCTCACAGGCCCAGCCGCACCGCGGCATGTGGGATCTTCCCGGACCAGGGCATGAACCCGTGTACAGTGCATCGGCAAGCGGACTGTCAACCACTGCGCCACCAGGGAAGCCCCATTTTTAAATTTTTTTTTTTTTAGGTTTCACATATCTGAAGTACGGAAGTATCATGTATCCTCAGGTTTCTCCCTGAGGCTAAGACAGAACCTTGAGGGGGGAGGGGGTGGTCCTGCATCACGTGGTTGATCTCCACCCTTCTGGGGAGCTCATCCACCTTATGCCTGGAACACCGAAGTTTTCCTCTTTGGTTTTTAAGTCAGTTAACCAGAGGCTGGTAATCAAAAGGCCATTAATATCTTGATGAATTCAGGGAGCTAGTTTGTGAGCTTCTCTTTAAGAGAGCCGTGGCTGGTTGCCTGTCTCCTGGAGACCTCTCACACGTACTTCTGGCACAGTCTCCCCTATATTTGTATCTTTTGTGGTTCAAGTATTGATACTTGGGTATACTTGTTGGTGGGCTCACTGTGGATAGGTGATTCTTATGTTTTTTTCCCACCAAAACATTTCTGAAGAATGACATTCCCACGCTCAATCCATTTCTTTGTGTATATACTCACGTACATATGTGTGTATGTGTATATCCAGAACATGTAACACACATATATTTATTTTACAAAATTCAAAGCACTTGGTGGGGAAATAAAATTGATTTTAATAGTGTATTCATGAAAGTGTTTTACAAGCACAGGGATAATAAAACTAGACACTTGGAGATTTCAGGAAATTGTCATTTTTCCAGGAAGAGTAAATAAATATGGCAAATCTAAAGTATTAAGCATTATTATTTAAAGGGTCTGTAGTGGTTGATTTCTGTGGGTGTAGCAGAGTTAGGTTTGCTGAAGTGAACTGTAATCTCCACCTCTTGTTTCCCACTCAGGGTCTGCCTAGAAGCAGTGGCTGGGGGTGATACTACAGGGATAATCCTAAATATGCTCGATTTATTTACTTGTAAAACGTGAATCCTCTGCAGATTTGGTACTTATGGTACCAAAGGCAGGAGGCACCCCTCACGGCTGCTGTGAGGAACTTGGAACCTAAATCGAGTGTCAGCAGCCAGAGGGTGGGGCTTGTGGTGCTCCTCCGTTGGGATGCTGCCGTGTGTCCAGACTCCGGGTGCTGGGCTGGAGGCCTGGGCACCTAGGTAGGAGGAAATGTTGGCTTTCCTCCTTCCCCACTCCCCTCTCATCACCTGTGGAAAACGCTGCTCTTTTAACATTGGCACCCCTTGTCGGGAGGGTGCCTGAGATTCCCGCCTGTCCTGCAGATGCGGGGAGGAAACTGGAGAGAACTAAATGCTGAAATGGATGAACTTGAGAAAAGCCTCATTCCATCTCTGGGTGGCTTCTCTGTAGTCTCTAGGCTACTTACTGATTTTGACATTACTGCCTCTTCCTACTCTGTCCTTCCTATTACAGACTGAGAAGGTTTGTTGAGTAGACGAGGCTGTGCCCT